GACTGATAAAATAAAACCGAAACGAGCTATATAATCATAGTATCCATATAATATTATAAAATATAATCTCAAAATTAAGAATCGATAAATAGAATAATCCGAGAAATTCTATAAATCGAACGGGGCGTTATAGTAAAGTCTAAGAAAAAGAAGGGGAAGGGAAAGGTTCCCAATAAACCTAATAAGAAGGCAAATAACGACAAAGGTAAGAACAAAGAGAAGGTTAATCTTCAGTCGAGTCATGAATGTTATCATTGTGGTAAAACTGGGCACTGGAAGAGGAACTGCAAGGAGTATCTTGCTAGCCTGAAAAGTTCAGGTATTTATTTTGTTGAAGTTAACTTATCAGTTAACGATTCTTCTTGGGTATTGGATACCGGCTGTGGCTCACATATTTGCAATGATTTGCAGATGATGGCAAGAAGTAACAAGCTAGAAGAAAATGAAACAATCCTAAGGATGGGTAATGGAGCAACGGTTGCTGCCAAAGCAATTGGGACTGTTTATCTAGCTTTGAATAATGATGTAAAGATTTGTCTTACAAATTGTTTGTATGTTCCGGATATAATAAGAAACATTATTTCTATTCCAATATTGGATAGAGAAGGTTTTAAGTTCGTAATTGAGATTGGAAGATGTTCCATTTTCAAAGATACAACTTTTATTTATTCCGGAAATTTCACAAATGGGTTATATACCATTACACCACAAAGTGCCATCCTAACTATTCAACAAAATAAAAGGAAATTTGATAATCATAGTTCATTCACAATTTGGCATGCTAGATTAGGTCATATATCTGAAAAGAGGATTCACAAATTGGGACCAAAACTCGACCTTATGGGAGAGGAAAGGTTGCCTACTTGTGAGTCATGTCTTAAAGGTAAAATGACTAAATCACCATTTGTTGGACAAGTGGAGCGAGCTAAAGGTCTATTGGATTTGATCCATACAGATGTATGTGGACCACTAAATGTTAGTGTCAAGGGGAACTACCACTATTTCATAACCTTTACTGATGATTATTCAAGGTATGGTTATGTATACCTATTAAGGTAAAAATTTGAAGTATTAGAAAAGTTCAAAGAATTCAGAAATGAAGTGGAAAAACAAATCGGTCGTAGTATTAAAGTTCTTCGATCGGATCGAGGAGGTGAATACTTAACCAATGAGTTTCTTGATTATTTAAGAGATAATGGGATTATTTCACAGTGGAAACCTCCTGGAACTCCACAACTCAATGGGGTTTCAGAAAGGAGGAATCGAACTTTGTTAGACATGGTTCGATCAATGATGAGTTCCACTACTTTACCTCTTTCATTATGGGGCTATGCCTTAGAAACAGCAGCACATATTTTGAATAGAGTGCCAAGTAGAGCTGTACCCAGCACACCTTATGAGATATGGTGTGGCAAAACACCCTCGTACAAATATATGAAAGTATGGGGTTGTACTGCTTATGTGAAGCAGTTAGTGGGAGGTAAGTTGGATATGAGATCCATTTTATGTAATTTTGTGGGGTATCCAAAAGAGTCTATTGGATACTATTTCTATGATCCCTCTGAACAAAAAGTGTTTGTTTCGAGGAATGCTGTTTTCTTAGAGGAAGAGTTTCTCTCAAAGAATAGTGGAGTCATAGAACTTAATGAAGAACCACAAGAAATTCCACAAAATACCACAAATAATATATCAGTAGAGACTGGACCATCTATAACACAACCTCTTCGGAGATCTGAAAGGATTTCTAGGGCGCCTAAGAGGCTATACCTATTGTTAGAGAACAATGAAGAGGGACTCCTTTTGGATAATGAT